TTTTATCAAATAAGATCACTATTTTTTTTTTTTGTTATTGAATATAGGGAGATATTCAGAGCAAGATATTTCATCACACCTCTTGTAGAGTGGACTTTACATTTATAATGGCTTTTTTTCTAATTTCCTTCTTAGCAACAATCGAACTGAACTCACCTACTGTCGTTTCCGTGGTGATTCTAGGGAGATTAAGTTAAATCAGATGTTTACACCAAAGAACCCGGTCTCTTGTCATTAGGAATCATTTGCCTAACGCTATAGTGTAAACATATTTTTACTATGAAATATAAAAGTAACTGACCCTTCCTTTTTATAAAATATCTACCCAATCCTTTACACTTATTAATGCAAACATCAGGAATAATTAATAAGTTATAGTAGAGATGATGTAAATGGAGAGGTAAAAAAAATTATCTCTAATGAAGGATTTCTTTTTTGCTCACCAGTCCTCTAAAATGTATTTCCTTGTCTTTGCCTCTTTACCTTCTTTCCCTCCTGGGATCCTCCCCTAAAGCTGCAGGTGTCAGGATGATGACATCCTGTCCGGACGGCGTTCTCTTTTTCTCCTCACAACCCATTAATGTAAATAGAAAGGTCCCCTTGTCTGGATCCCTTTCTTTTTTCACTCTGATCCTCGTGTGAAATCAGCTTCTCATTCTCTATGATCAAAGTGCACGCGTGCACAACGAGACTCCCAGAAGGATTCCAGAGTTGCATATCTGTAAAAGAGGCATCCACCCAAGAAAATAAATTATTCTCTCAAGCAAATAGCTGCATATGAATATTTTATTAGCAATTCAAACTTTCCAGCTATGGTTAAGGGGATAGAAGTAAGTGGGATATAGTGTAGTTAATATATTCATACAAAAACAATCCTTTAATCACCACATTCCTCAGATATTATTTATAGTTTTTGGTGCTTCATCTTTGCTGACAGAAAGGCTAATCCCATCTGCTTGCAGAGAACAAGGAATAAATAGTTATCCTATTTAAATGTTGTTTTTATTTTCTTTTAACCCTGTTAAAAAAACCAACGAACCGATTATTTTTCCTAAGAAGGTCTTATGCTTTATTTATCTTTGACAAAGGTTGACCTACATCGACTTTTCCAAATAGTGACAATATGGCAAATCAAAAAAATGTGATGACTTGTTGTTATTGAATATGTTAGCTGAATTTAGCCTTTTGGTCGCATAGGGACGTTTATCTCTTTTTTTTTTTTATAAATACACACACATGGAATTGTTTGACTTGAACAAAACACCCCCCGCTAAGGTCTTTCTCTTTTGCGGTGCTCTTTGTAATCCATTCTCAGCACAAAGCATCTCCTGTATTAAAGAATTTCCTTGCAACACAGTCACCCTAAATTGCTTTTACTAAAGAGCGGAAGCTTAATGCACCCGACCGACATAAGGCATTTGAGCAAACGCATTGACAGACAGTCCTCACAGAACTGAATGTAACTGATAAGAGAATCCATTAACTCTATTTTACTTCTGTTTCATTCTCTTTCTCTCCCTAACCCCCACCTCTTTTTTTAGGCCAATTCAATATTTGAGGAGTTCAACACTTTTTTTTATTTTATTTAATGTTACTGCCATACTTTGAAACAGAGCATGGGTGAAATTCAATCACACAGAGTTTTATGTGTAATCCTGACCAGGAGCATGAGGATGGGGAGTTTTTCTTTTTTATTTATGAGTTATCAAAGCACAGCAGATGGGCTGGGATGAGCCAACAGTCTTCCTTGTTAATGAAGTGACTTTCTAATACAACCAAATAACCCAGAGTGGGTCCATAAAGTAAAAGGACAGAACATTTATGAGAGGATGTTTAATGGATATTGCTGCCATTTCTCCTCTTATATAATATAATGCTTATTTGTTTCATATTTATTCCAAAATTTGAGATTACTGCTTTTAGAATTGGCTGAATCAGAATTGTGTTTATGCAATATATTTACTTACTGTATAGCGGCGCAGTCACTGCACAAGACTTTGGAGGTCACCCCATCAATATGTGAATACATGTATACAGCAGCAGAAGTCTCTCAGCCTGTAACCTATAACTTCTTGGAGCCATTTCACCCCACATCCTGGCACACGATGCAGCAGATGGCTAATAAACACATTTGCTACTTAAAGCCCAGGCGTTGTAGTGTTTGTAAAATTCAAATGAGATATGGCGATGACACTCACTCTGTGTGAGATCATCGGTGCAACTGAGCAGTTGGAAATACTTATTACGCCCTCACTGGACCGGCAAACCCATCTGCATAGGAAGAGAACCATGCTGTTGGAGATGTGTTGTGTTGCATAGGGTCAAGGAGAACAATACAAACATTTCAAGAATTAAAAAGACAGCAGAGCAAGAAAGAGTGTCATTACTTTAGTGTAGAAAATGGCAAAGCCAGTATTTAGACAAATGTACTGACAGTTTAAACTGATCAGATGCCCAAACTACTGACTTATTACAGATTAAAGACCTCCTCACCCTTCCTGGGAAGCAGGGCTATGCCATAGAAACTCCTTTTAGCCAAGTTATTTAAAGTCTTCCATGTGTGGCACAGATCTGAGGGACAGTTTACCTTAAGTCCAGTCAAATTGAATGTAGATAGTTGGGTAATGTTACATAAGCCGCGTTGCCATAAATTGTTAATTGGATTTGGATCAGAGCTTTGACTGTGATATTCTAACAAACCTAGGTGTTGTTGTATATTTAAAGTTATTATGCTAAAGGTTGATTGTCAGACTTGGTCATAATTGTTTTGTTTTTTGGGGGGCTTTTTAAACGTTTTTGCATCTTTTTAGGTTCCCAGCAACTGTGGAAAAAAAACATGCCTCAGAGAAACAAAAATAATGTTTGCGCTCCCACAGCTTTTCAGGTTATAAACAAAATCCCTCCCTTTTTGGTGTGGAAACTTTATAGATAGATAGAGTTTGGCCAACCAGTCCTAAAAATTGATCCTCAAAACCACTGAGAGGGAAATAAGACGGTGTGACAATTCATGACACGTCTTCTAGGTAAAATACAGCATATTGCTACTTCTTCTCCTTAATTAGTACTGAAAATGCCTCCTCTGCCATTGTCTTGTGTTTTCTTTTGTAAGACAAGCTACAGTAGATGGGACTTTCTATGAGCTTGGCAGCTGAGCTTTTTGTGAAGTTTGAATACTTTGAGGCAAAATAAAAAACATTTTCTTGTTATTTCCACCTCCAGAAGAAAGAACGTCTTAGTCCTTGAAGAGTATGTACAGTAGCAAACTTAACTGAGTCCAACCGGTAAACTTGGGGTGATGTACATCAGGGGTGTCCAATCCATACCTTGAGGAACAGGTGTCCTGCAATTTTCATATAGGTCTAACTAAACTGGAATGATTGCTGAGGATGCTCTTTAGTCATTGGTTTTGGATGTGTTGGGCAATGGACAAGAGTCTGCCAGCTCTGATGTACAATGTCAGTTTTTCCTATTCCCAAAGAACTATGTGTATCAGTGAAACTATTAAATAGTTTTCCACTTAAAAACAGGGAAACTCTTTCTTTTTCATGTTTGCCATGTCCCCTTCATCACCTGTAGAATGATCCAATTAGAACTAGCTTTTCTTCAATGGCTTTGTCAAAATAACTTCCCAGAGGGACAGACAGGATAATACAAGGACCAAAACAAATGGTCTGAACAGTCTTACAATCATACCTTTCTATTTCAAAGGTTTGAAACACCACCTGCACTTCTGAAAACATGTGTTCAGCATTGGTAGAGTCTATTAAGAAAAATATAAAAACAGTTAAGAACAGATGTCATAACAACCAGTTTCTTCAAACTATTTTTATCTTTTAAGTCAATTTTCATTAGAATAGATTTATCTTGGCTGTCCTCCCACAATATATGAAGTTGTCAGTAAAATTGAGCCTGATATAATGAATTGTTGCTTCAAGGAAAATGTGGGTTGTCACAGAGAACTGCAAGGGGACACATTATAAATGAACAAACACAGATGCAGGGCTTTGATAATTAGAGGTGCCGTTTGATTAGACCAGCTAAATGATGTTGCATAATCATGTTTACAGTTAGAGTAAATTGTTTGTTTGAAACAAGTTTTGCCAACAGAACTTTAAGATGTAATCCACATAATTTATATCCCAAATTATGCTTAACATATGAAGCAGCTCCTGTGGAAATTAGCTGAACCTGTTGGCGGGTGGAGGCAGTAGATTCCCTGCCTTCAGAGCTATCCATCACATAAACAAAATGCGGAATTAAATGTTTTGTTACTAAATACAAAGCACAGCTCTCAACGCGTCCAAAGAGGTGGTAAAGTGGATGCAATCAATATCTTGTGTAGGGGGTAGCAGTATAATTTACACAGGCTTGATGTTGTGATTAAATACAGATTGATATAAGAGCCATCACTGACTAGCAGCAGTTAGAGACAAGTAATCACCATTCCATAATGGACACAATATTAAAACTCATCCTGTCTTCACTATCATTATGTTTATTTCCATTCTTTAAACTTGATTTCTTCACAACTACTCCATCTCTCTGTCTCCGCTGCTCCCGTTGCCCTCATCATCCATCAAGGAGGTGGTAACATCAAGGGGCTGTGTCCTTGGACATGTAGAAAGGACCTGCTATTGACTGGCATCATGAGCTCCTCTTTCCTTGTTCCTTTCCCGCAATCCCCATAATCCCCCTGTCTTAGCTGCCAACACGGCACACTCATCAGGACCACAGGGGCAGTATATGGGGGGCCTACTGTCGGCACTTATTATATCACCGCTCAGAGAGGGTTATGTCTTCGCTTGAAGCTGCCCACATGAATGCAAACAGGAGAGGGAACACCGCGGATGAGCTGAAGCATAAAGATGTGAATGGACTGCAACCTAAGCTCACATAATTGTACAGATTTACTAACATGAAGTATGACCTCCCACATGTGAAACCTTGGCTGTGCCACCGCATTTTGTTTTCTTCAAAGGTCACGCGGTTGCATCTTAGTCTTAGCTTGCAGCAGAACAAACTGACACATTTGTACAAGGCTGAATACATATGGTTTATTATCTCTCTATCCCTGCTACCTTCATGGCACTTCAGCTGGTAACCAAGGAGGACATGAATAGTTTCTGACTCGTGAGCATACCACAGAGCTGTTACATCTTGCTTTCTTGGTGAGAGAGACTCCTGCATTATATTTCACAGTGATGTTCAAATATAGAGTGTTCAAATATATTTGATCTTTTCATATTTTGCCACCCTACAACCACAAACTTCAATAGATATAAAAGGATTTTATTGGCCAACTCAAAGCCGTGCATAATTGTCAAGTTAAAGGCAAAGATTTAAGCTTTTATGCTTATATGATTAGATTTTTTGTGGTTTTATGCCTATAGGAGGAACCGCTCAACATTGTTTCAAAATTTGCCCTCAATTCAGCAATAAATTCCTCAGCAGATTATATCAGTGCTGCTTTACTGTATGTAGTATGCTTACATTATGTAATATTATGGTATTACTTATTTGTACAATTATAGTACTATGCTTTCAGGCTCTCAATGTCTGTAATACACACTGCTACTTCACCCTTTTTTGGAAGGTTGACTATGGCTAATGTGGTTTAGTCATTATTAGTCAAATTTTTTTTATAAAACCTTGTTGATGAGCCTAAAATGTTTCATTTTTTTGTTAATTATTTATTTTTATTTAAACCATTCATGATCTACGGTGCCCGTTTTTACTGTTCCTGCTTATTTGTTTAACCAGAAGGTGCTAGTGTTATTATTACATCCATCATTGCATGTTTTCCTGATCTTGTGCATCCCTTCTGTTTAGTTCTGTCAATCTCTATATATTTTTGATCGGCTGAAGGATGGCCTCACTCTGACCAGTTTCCCTTTCCGACTGGAGAAAAGCATTTGCACACCATGATCCTGCCCCCACCGTGTTTGTCAAGACAAAAAGTTGAATTTTGTCTTATCTGATTCAAGCCTTCTTCCTTCACATTTGCAGTGTCCTTTACATAACAGCCTTTTCTAAGTCTTTGTTTCTATATTGGATTTATTTTCAGCGCTTTTCTAAAAACGCCTCTTGGTCATTTTTTCTGATTAATGCTGTCCTTGCCTGCATTTTCTTTTTAGGTCAAGTAAGAAATTCAAAGCTAGAGATCTTGCTTTCAACTTCATCCCTCCTTCACTGTTCTTGATGATAATTTTTTTATTTCTAAAAACAATAAATAAGGCATTCACAGAAAAGTTGCATTTATACTACAGTAAGTTCAACCTACAGTATTACAGTATTTACCACGCAACTTTTGAAGTCATCGACCAGTGAGATATCATAGTAAATAAGGCCTAATTTAATGGACTCTGTCAGATTTCAATTTACAAAAAACTTTAGTTTTTATTCCAGTGTAATTATGCATTTTGTTTTTAATTACAGATAATCACTATGAAATATAACACAGTTTGCAGTTGTAATATAAATAAATTGGGGAAAACTGAAAGGCTATAAATATGTTTAATAGGCACTGGTTTTGTATGAAAGTCCTTATTGATGTATTTTCACATCAAATCGGCTGTGGATCTGAAAACATCCAAAGTTGTACAGAAACCTCACTGTAACCAGGCTTATAATAATAATAATAAAAATAAAAAAAAACATACACAGCAACAGATACATTGTTTACCCCAGACGCTTATCTCTATCAGGCCAGTTACTGAATAAGAATTTGCTGATGGTATTCTAGTGCTTCTGTACAGTAGCAAAGATGATAAAAGAGTGAAGGTGGCAGAGCAACATTTGGATTTTTATCTGTTTATATGTCTGTGTGTGTGTGTGTGTGCCTCATCAGGAAGCTGTGAAGGAGAACCACAAGAAGAGGGAGATGGAGGAGAAGATCAAGAGAGCCAAGCTGGCGAAGGAAAAAGCTGAGCGAGAGAAGCAGGAGCGTCAGCAGAAGAAGAAGCAGCTGATTGACATGAACAAAGGTACACTGCTTCTCCCCATACTGCTGCAGAGACGGAGAGAGGGAGGCGGGTGGGGAGTTCAGGGGACAAGAAGCACAAGGGCGGAAAGAAGGTTTTATGGAAACTTCCTGTACACAGATTTGAAGTCAGCTTCTGGTATTAATGTGGAGAAACAGGGGGAGGCGGCCCTTTTCTTTTTTTTAGTTCATTTTTCAGCTCTGAGGGAATCTCATGTTTACAGTCCTTCCATAGCTCAGTCAGTGCTTCCAAACAAAAGAGAAGTTATGCTAGAATTGGTATTTTCTATTTATCCACATTCTGTAGACGAAAACATTCTCCCCCTGCTGCATCTTAAAATTGAACACATTTTATTCAGTGATGCTTCCAGTTATTGGAAAGTAGTAACAGATAAACACAAATATGCAGCCTGCTTACTGAGACACACACTGGAAAATACAGGCCGCATGTAAAGAAAGGAAATTAAGGCCTGCTTTATTGACTAAAGTGAAGATTGCTCTGTAGACGGCAATTTCAACATGATCATTACCATGCTGGTAGTTTTTTATGTATTAGGTGGAAGGAAAATAAGAAAAAAAAAAACAGTATAACGCTGTTTCCACTCAATGTTTTAGACCCATTGTTGTGAAATGCCATAATGACTCTGCTGTCCTCCAGCAAAGCCAGCAAGTCATGTATTGATTAGTGAGAGCTGCAGTTGTTTTACACATGCGGGTTTGGGGGGGGGG